GGTTTCCGGATTGCAGCAGGAACATCCTGTGTTTCAGAATGTGCCCATGGCCTCATGTCCTGTTCCTGGCCACAACTGAAACAGCCCGACCCTACTGTATTTACAGTGTCCTTTCATGTATTTATATATATTGATAATATTCCCCCTGAGTTTTCATACAGTCCTTTTTCTACTTACATTCAATTAAGTATTTTTCTCCATAGGAGTCCCTGATCTCAGGAGTCAGTCTGTTCCAAAGTCTTAAGAGGTTTCTCTGGATAACATCTGAATTAGCTACTTCTGCCTTAAAGAAACCATGCTCAACAATGCTTACTTTCACTCCAAAATGCTGCATCTCTATCCTAGAAGAAAAAACCCAGTAACCATCCCTGGCCATCCAATAATGGAATAACCATTAAGCACAAGTAAGTTGAAAGTCTATTACATAAATTAATATTTGAGACTTTGATTCTTATCTTGAAATGTCAGAATAATTTTGAGCTGTCCAATTTAGCTTCATAGCAGTGTATCTGTCCTGTAAAAGTGCAGCAGGCAATTAACTAAAAAATGATTAAAAAGTGATTAAATGTTGGACAGTTTTAAGTCTCAGCTTGACAGGGTGCGGAGCCATGTCATATAAACTATAGTAGTACCTAGAAAGGTTGGAGCAGATGATCCTTGGGGTCCCTTCCAACCTGACATTCTGTGAGTCTATATAATGTTAGTGTAATAAAGGTTAGTTTGTTTTCTGGTAGTGTGGTTCCTTCTGTGTAATTTTGAGTTGCAATGCAACTCCTTTGGGATGAAAACTCTTTGTCTTGCTGGGCAGCTCAAGAGATCCAGGCAGCTGTGCTCCAAAGTGAGCAATGGAATGGACCACGTGTACATTAGCCATTAGGTTATATTTTCTTGGGGCATAGACTTTTTATAAGCATTCATAATGGTTTGCAAGCATCTTTCCTAGCCCTTCTCAAGACTTGACTTGCTGGGCTAGGCCTTAGCCTTCTCAAGACAGTACAACAAAACTGGCTTCAGGGAATGAATTTTCTGTTGTTAGAAGTGCCTTTGGTAAAGTGGTTGCTGCCTGGAATTGTCCAGCTCAGATTGATATGGAGCATCAGAGCAAAATAAAATGGGTTGTAAATGGGCAAGTTCAGCTCGCCCAGGAAACTCTGGCTGTCTGACCAGGCTCTACTGTTGATTTAATTTTTTTATGCAGTGAGTTCCTAGGCTTGAAAGCTGCATGCTAGCTATTAGTTCATGTTATGAAAGCTTCTCCCAGTGCAGTTTCCTGGTAGGTCTGTTTATAGTACTGGAGATTGAAATCCCAAACAAGTGACCAAACATCCTCTTATTTTCCTTTCTCTTGCCTTTTAGGCAATATTTGCAGAGAGAAAACAAGAGGCAAAACCACAGTCACCCTTCCTCAGCACATCTGAAATCTGTTCTTGGATTCATCCATGTTCTTCTAGTAACCTACCGTAAGGTGTCAGAGAAAGCTTCCACACCACATTTGGACAGACTGTAGACACCTCCTGCAAAGGCCATGAGGCCTTTGGCATTAATTAGATTGATTACTCTTCCCTCAGCTTTTTTCAGAAGTGGGAGAAGCTTGAGTGTGATTTCAATCAATCCCAGCAGACTAACATCCAGCACGGAGTGGAAGTCTTCAATGCTCAGCCAGTCAGTGGGTGCTGCAGATGCTGTTCCTTCAGCATCACTCACCAAGCCAAAAAGCCCTAGGAGGAATACAAAACCATTTATGTTGTTATGTGGCAATAGGTTACCCTAGAGTTCCACCCATCGCATTGGGAACCAAGTGTAGAGTCTGAAAAAACTTGAGTGAGATGAATACAGTTGTCTGGTGTTTACTTGCAAGATATACTCTCTACACCTGGCAAAATCTGCTAAAGAACTTAGGCAATTACTCTAAAAAGAGCATGTGTAAAGCATTAGTGGAAAACTATTTCAGCTGGAGATGTGGGCCACCAATACTGGGCTTTATTATCCAGATCCACTCAAGCATGTGGGCTCCTAATATGTACCTACATTCTAATGAAGTAAAATTGTCCACATGAATGTGGAGATACTGATTTTTCTGGATTGGGGTCTAAAGGTCTGAGCCAGACGTGTGGAATTAGTGCTTCTAAAAATGTTACCTTAACCCTGTGTTTTGATAATACTGCTTTACTACCTTATAAATTACTTGAGGAACTTCAGATAAATAGTGACACTTCCAAGAGTTTGTTGAGGACAGCCTGTGCCTAAAGGGAGGGGCTGAAAGTCCAGCACTCAGCGTCCATAAAGAGTTTCTCAGACTGAGGTGACAGTGCTAGCAGCAGTTACCCCGATTGAGAACGTGTGGCCTTCCACAAGCTGGTAGCGAGACCCTGCTGGTGGAGGTAAGCACTAATAATTATGTTGTCCTTGGCCTCTGGAACTGTCCTGATGAGGCCAACAGTGTTTTATGAGCTTGAAAGAGAAAGTCCTACTAGTAGAAGATATATTTTTTTTGTTGTTTAACTAATTAATTACCAACCCTATTGATTATTTGGTATAACTGTGTGCTACAGCTCGTAGCTGCAGTGCTGTGATCCTCTTTGGTGGCCCATAAAAATGTCTAGTTTGAGCTATTAGTGCTGAAGAAGAAACATGTATTGCCAGTGTTGGATGTATTTATTGTGCAGATCTTTTTATCACCCTTTGTCAAGCCAACTCTTGCTTTTTAACTGCAGTCACAGGTATCCAAGGACAAACTTTTCCTATTAGACAAGTGCTCAGAGGTGTATGATAGCAGGAGTGAGAGTTACCTAAAGCTGGCTGAAATGAAAAGTGTTAAAGTTACAGTAAGTGCAGTTGTTGTGTGCATTGTGAAAGCCAGATTTTCTTGGCTATGCAAAAACACTCTTCTGCTTACTAGAAGAGGGCTAAAGAAGATCGGCACTAGTCGTTTTTAGTTGGGTGGGCTTTTTTTTTCTCTCAATAAAGTTGTTTATGGTACCAGTTAGCCCTTCCTCCAACTGAGATTCTTCAACTGCACTAAAAAGAGTCTGAAAAACACAGCTGGGGATGATCTGGTTTTAATAGACTGAGCAACTAGATTTTTAGGCACCTGTAGGTGAAAGCGAGGGGAAGCCCAAAAGCATTGGTGGAAAGAGTCACTTTGAACTGAGAAATGACAGAACTGAAGAATGAATGTGCTTCATAAATAAGATGAAAAAAAGCATCTGCAGAGAGTGGAGAGGTACCACAACTTCTAGTAAGACCAGATTTGCTGATATTGAATAATTTTTCTGGGAAATTACCTTACCCTTTCCAGCGGTCTCCCTGGTCACAAACAGCACAGCCCTGGCAATGCTGTTGGAGTCAGCTAAGTTCAGGTTCACTGTCTTCAGTGAGAGTGAGGAGCAGGACCGTTGCTCTTGGCCTCCTTTTTCTGTGGCACATGCAGCAATGACACAAAATCCCCTTTTGTCAAGCCATTTAGCCAGCGAGTTCCCAAGTCCAGTGTCACAGCCCATTATGAAGACATGCTTTTCACTCAGGTTTCTCACTCTCTGATTGTCTCTGATGAGCCAGTAAATGAGAAGACAAAGTACGGAAGCCAAAATTGCTATGTGCAGAGAGTCTGCAAGTGAGAGCTACAAGCAAATAAGTTAATGATCTAGAAATACAATGAAGGAAATGCGCTCAGCCAACCCCCAACTTCCTCAGACATAATTCCTGTAAGTGGCTTTGGCACAATGTGACTGAGATCCATAAATAAAAGGTGCCTTGGCAAAACTTTCCCTATCCTCCTTTTCAATAGATTTCCACTTTTCAAGCTTTGCTGACCAATCTTTCTGGTCAGCCCTGTTCTTTCAGGATATTTCAGTCTGACAGGAATGACTGCATCATTTCTCACAGTAGTATCTGGGTTTTGTTGTGGACCTAAGTGATTATTTGTGCTAATACTGGGGAGAGGAATTCCTCTGGGAAGAATGATGATCTTTGACCATCTCTATGATGCCACCCAGGCTGCTCTTCTATCTGTAGTATGGAAGCAGAGTGGCTCCAAGAAAAACCAGAAAAACCTAAGCTGTAGTGGTGGGTCTGGTGACTAATTTTTTGTGTGATTTGTGTTGCGTGATGGTGAGTGATCTGCTGTCCACCCCTTAGATAAGGTAGATTTTGGGGCAGTGCCTTAGTCTTGTGTCTCCTTCCTCATTGCCTGTTTAGCATGGATATACAAGCGTTGTAGAATACATTAACTAGAGAGTGTATTTGTATAAAGAAGAGGGGAATGTATGGAGATGTTGCCCTCAAGAGAAAAGCACTGATTTCCTAATTGAGGAAGATACTGTTTGCTTATTACAAAAAAATGTAATAAGTGTAGAATATAGTTCTTGCCATGTAAAATTTTTGTGATTTTTTTTTTTTTTCTGTCTTTCTATTTGTATTTTTGGCTTGTGCAAAAATTAAACCAAAATAACTCATTAAAACAAATATTTATGGGAAGGCTTTGACATCCTGTCAAAGAGAAACCTAGGCTCTAGTTACCTATATATATGCAGAGCTGTAGACATCTGGCCTTTAAAATGTGATTGTATTCAAAGAATGAAGTGATACTTAAAAAGAAAGCTTGTTACTATTTTTGCATTGCAGAAGTATTCAAAAAGGAAGGGATCTTCCCTATCTCAAAGCTGTCTGAAGTTAAGCATTTTTTTTGTGTAGCATCCTTGCTACCTTAAGATCTGAATACTAAAGGAAGCCTAATGTATTAGGCCTGGTTTCTACTAGCCTTTGTGCTGTGTTCTTCCTACTGAGTTCATGGAATGATTTGGATTCTGAAATTTGCTGCCACCTCACCAGGTAGGAATGGAAGGAATCTCAGGATCTGATAGTGAATGAATGTTGCAATGTCATTAAATAATTAAATTATTCACATAGCTGATAAAGGATAACAAGTGACAACATTCCTTGCCCCTTAATGATGTTTTTTAATAGGTGGGTGCCTCAGTAGCCATCAGTATGGACTTGTGAGCTACTGGTTAATGCTCTCTGTCTTTAAAATGATAAGTGCATATTATACATAGATAAGAATTTGCTTTCCTTCCACTGCAATCTACAGGGAGGCTACCAATGAATTTTTGGGATGTTAGAGTGGTCCGTGGGCTGCACTGCTTATTTTAGCCACCCATGTCACTTTTGAGGCTCACTTGATGTGAGGCTGTTCTGATGCTAGAACCTCTAATTCAGGTACTTTTTCTTAGATACTTGTGTTTTTTTGCTGTGAACGTCTCTGTTAAGTCTGACAAGGATAGCATTGTTCCTGAATGTGTGCCCTTTGGAATCATCTTTGTAATGTTTCACTGAGTTGGTGACATTTATTTTCTGAGAGGACTCATAGAGGGTGCTCTGTGTCATTAAAAGTGTCATTAAAACTGTGTGAAAGAGCTCAGGCTAGTTTAGGCTTCTGTGCTGTAAAATGAAGTCTGAAAACAGAATGTTGCAGCAAACAATCATAGATACCCCTGGTATATCTGCAACCATGTGCAGGGCCATGATGTTTCCTTTGCTGATTTAGAATTTGGAGCTGAGCTTGACACAAAAAGAGGAGTGGCTACAAGCAGGCTCTTGTAACCCCATACCAATAAATTTCAGCAAACTATTCGGCGAGCTAGTGCTGTGATATAATTTTAGGACTCAATTTTTTTTCCCAATACAAAATCAAATAATTAGAGATTTGGAGTAAATAATAACTCAACTGGAAACAGCAGCTGTAGATCACACCCTCCTTCCCTGGCTGTGCTGTAGGGAAGAAGCAATGGGCAGTGAGCTTGTGCTACTAGAGAGCAGGATAAACTTGAAATTGAGCTCTGTGGAGTTTCTGACCAGGATGCCTTCTTGGCTCTTGTAAGAGAAACACTTGGGAATGCTCTGTTTAGTCCTGTGTTTTAGTGTTTAGGTAGAAATAATTGGCACAAGGTGCTGTAAGACAAGGGGCTCAAGTGGCAACAGCCAAGAGGAAAATGCTGTGTGTGGAGCCTCCACTGCTCCTTTCTGCCCTGTCAGCCCTAGGCCAGTGTTCCTCAGCCCATGATCCCTAACCACCCAGTTCTCCCCAAGTACCAGTGCTGCTGCTCCAATAACGTGGACATTTGCTGCTGAGCACCATGCTGGGTTTTAATCTGCCAGTATTTATTCTGCTAGATTCTGTGATTGCTGCTGGAAGGAGTCTGGGGTCAGAATCAAAGGAAACAGCCTCATTTACAGTTTTCTGCTGGTAAAATGGTCTAGTTCTGTCAATATACATTGTTATGCAAAATATTTCTTGTTTGATAATTGTGGAATACTAAAAAAAGCCACTTGTCTTCCAGGGCCATATTGATTTTGAAATTGCTGCCTGGAGGAGCAAAGAGTGTGTTTCCAGAGAAAATGTCAGCATGATATTTTAAGAGTATTGATTTATCTTCATAAATATTGAATTCTGGTTACTAATGTAGCCAGTAAATAGCTAAAGGCAAATTCTACTTTCCATTAAAACTTTTATATTTGCCTGGCAAATTGAGAACTCTTGGGATAGAGTTTGGCTTCTTACACCCAGACAAGTGCCTTTATAAAAGCAATTGATTTTAGAGAAAGAGCACGACTACACTGAGAGCCCTTTAAGATCCTTACATGACTGCAAAATACAGCATCCTTCTGCTTGTCTGCACTAAAGGAAACTGAAGCACATAGACTGTATTGAAGAAGGGTGTTACGGTTCTACTCTTACAGCAACTGTGCTTTGGTAGTCATGCCAGAGAACCTCAGTTTGGGGTAAGGTTTGGAATCTGGATATGCTTTGGATTCTGCTATCTGCCACTGTGCTGGCAGCGCTACCCTCCAGAAGTCAGTGCTCTGCAATGGGTTAGAGTGACCTGCCAGGAGTACTTAGGAAGAACTACCAAGAGGAAATTCAGGGTCTGGGTTTCTTCAGAAATAGCACTCATGTAACACTTCATGGGAGGTTGAAAGGTATCGGACAAGGCTCTGACCGATCACTCATCCTGCCAGACATACAAAGCCCCCTGATCTTCAGTTAACAGATTGAACAGATATGCAGGCACAAATACATCACATCTCCCACTCTTAGGTGAGCTATTGCTGCACATGGAGGACTTTGCAGTTTGTTTTCGTAGTAAAGGTGTCCTTTTTAATGTGCTGTGTAAAAAAATGTCAGTGTGATAATACAGGTTGGTGGCCAACAGATAACTTAAGATCTTCATCGGTATGCCATCTTAACAAAAATACATCTCCAGACTCTCTTACTCAGCACTTTGCAGGGAGATCAACGCAGTACAATGGGGGCTGATTTCTTGGCATGATTGAATCTTTCCATGTGTGGCTTGCACCTCACATTTTTACCACAGCATCGGTAAAAGACCCAGGAAACTAAAAACCTTTAAACTCATATGGTGACTGACTCAGTAGCTCAAAATAAAGGAATAGAGACAAATTCCAGATGTTGGGAGGAATATTTCTCACTAAGTGTTTTATTTAGACCCTGTAGGTGCTTAGATAAGCAGCATTTGCTAAAGTCACTCCAGAAAGGAAGGAACTGCATGTTCTCTTTTCTGTGCCCTTGAAACCAAGTGCTTAATTTGTTCTCTTAGCTGTTCTGCAAATACATACAAAGAGTACTACTCACTATAATGACAGAAATTAGTTCTGTTTTTGTGCCATTACTCACATTCTGGGGAGACATCAAGCTCAGTCTGTACCTCCAGATGCTCACGAGTTGCCTTCACCAGTTATTTCCAGTGCCAGAACATAGAAAGAGCCCAAGTCAAACTCATAAGCTTGCTCACCAAGACCCGTATGGTGACAGTTTCCAAAAAAACTCACTGTAAATTATGTCTGGTGGGGCTTCCTGATCACTGTGTGCTGACTGACAAGCACGGCCCCTCTCTCTGCTGTTGATAATGACTCATGCTGTGATGCTTCTCCCAGCTTCTTATTTGCTATTAATCTTCTGTATATGTTCCTTGCCTGCCTATCCTACCTATGTTGTTTAAGCATTGCTGGCTATATATAGTAATCTGCAGAGCCTGGTGGACTGTCAGGTCTCGTTAGGGAGAACTAATCTACTCAGCTGGGAATGACTGATCCGTGTTTTGTCTTGAAACCAGCAGGAGACTTTCCATTGATTTAACAGAGCTTTGTTCAGACCTCTGCCTTTTTTCCTGCATGTGAACAAGTTGTTATTGATATGACTTAATATTTTAAGAGACATCCTTGTGTATGAAAACTTTCAGTGATGAAATTATTTTTTCTAGTCTACAGGCAGCTTTTTGATACTAGAAACAAATCAGTTGCCTATGTAACTAAGCAATGCTTTTCAAATAAAAGCTCAAATTCTACAAACTGTGGAAGCAGAAGCTCTACAGTTCGCATGGGAAAATCTCTTACATATGACTGCTAGGCTGCCTGCTTGTTTGCTCCCTGGCCCAGAGTCTGCTGGGTGCTTCTGATCCAGCTTTGAGTGCTACTGCATGAACATGTAAGCAGAACTGCTTGTCCCCACGCATGCCTCCCATTCACAGTGTTGTGCAGTGCTGGATGCTGTGGGAAGCGAGAAGGCTTAGGCAAAGGCTGTCCTCAACAGCAGAATAAATTAACAAACTTTTTATGAAAAATTATTTGAAAATAACTGAATAAGAAGGAAATTAAAACTGGACAAGCCAAGCAAGGTGGTAGGATGAAGCTGAAAGTGATCTGGCCCCACTGAGTTGACTGGACCATGGCAATGGCAGCCTGTCCCAGACTGGCCATTGACACCTGTCCGGCTACTTCCTGGCAAGAGCTGCAGAGTTGTTAGTTCATCCTCTTGGTGGGCAGCTCTTACCCCTATAGTTTCTTTCCCTGCTTATTTTGGCTTGGGCCTGGAAATACTTGCATCTTTTCCCTTCCTGAGTGCTGGAGCCCGAGCTGTGGTGTTGGTTGTTTCTCTGCTTTCTGCACTCTTGGGGCAGTCAGGAGATGTGCGCAGCTTGCTGGAGATTCAGCAGGTGGCTGGCAGGGATTTCCTCTCCAGCACAAGCCTGGCAGACGTGCCTGCTGAGCCTGCCTAGTCCTGTCTGGTCTGATTCAAATGAATTCAGTGTGGTTTAAAGGACCACAAAAGAGCATTCCACCAGCATGCAGATCCTATTGCAGGAGAACACTTCTCTGGCAGTGTCAAGTCAGGGGTCCTTTGCCACAAAATGTAGGAGAGAAAACCAGAAAAGTAATTTTTCTTTACTGTTTGTTGGCTTTTTTTGGCTTTTTTTTTTTTTTCAGCAAAGTACTTTTGAACTGTAAAAAATAATTTCATAAAGATGAACATATCCTACTTAGTATATTGAAAAACATAAAAATGGGGAATTTTTCCAAGAAATTCCTTTTCTCACAGAGGATTCTCTGACTTGTTCAGAGATCAGTATGAGAAGGAGCTTAACAGAATAGAAACCAAATAAGCAAAATGTGAACTCTCTATGTGGCTTTCTGTTAGAGAGCTTGGCATGAGACAGTCTTGTATCTGCAGAAAGCAGCTCTCGACTGTCTGATTTCCCATTGACTACTAAAGTATATTTCATAATTAAATCCCTGGCTTCTAGGAGTGGGAAAAGTTACCCTGCTTGAAGTGTAACTCTGGGGAAGGAAATTTGGTTCT